TTTAACATTTGCTGAGCAGTGGAGAGCCAGTGAAGAGCCAGAGACAGGAGGGAATTGAAATCCTAGCAGAGACTCTGGACTCTGTCCACTCAACAACCCGTAAGATTGCTTAACAACTGCAACCGGGAGTTCCAAAATTTTGTTTATTAGATTTTTATCCTGCCTTTACTACTTTATAAGTAACTCAGGGTACAGAACATACATACAGTATTACTCCTTCCTTCCTCCTCCTGATCACCCCACAACAACAAACCTGTGATATGGATTGGGCTTAAAAAGAGCGATGACCCAAAGTCATCCAATCAGCTTTCCCACCTAAGGCAGGACTAGAATTCACAGTCTTCTGGTTTCAAGGCCAGCCCTTTAACCACTACACCTTGCGCTCTGCCGGCACAACTGATCTTTGCTACTACCTCAACTGATCTTTGCTGTCTCTTTCTCCTGCTGTTGACAAGGCATGCCTGGCCTGGCTGCTGAACTAGGTTCATGCAGCCCCCTGAGACACAGCACAGAACTCAGCCCCAGCCCAGCCCAGCACCATGCAGCCCCCTCAGCACAGTTCTAGCCACATTCTCATGAGGAAACTCATGCATGACCAGGGGAAGAAAATCTAATGTGGCTAACAGCTGCCTCATGAAGAGCCAGGCCAGTCATGTCCTATCAGCAGCAGAAGCAAGAAGACAGCAAAAGTCAGCTGGGGCAGTAGAATATAGCCCCCGCCCGGGGCCTAGAAGGGCATAGATCGTGGGGACATAGGTGGGTGGGTAGAGTCAAAGCCTCCTGCGTCATAAATATAAGCAGTCTGCCAAGCATCTGAACTTTGATCATGTGACAAAGGGTGTGCTGCAATGGCCATAATCTTGGGCACCGATGATAAGTCCCTTCGTTCAGCACTATCTTATCTTTAAACAGTTGTTGAATTCATGGCCATAAATCGAGGACTACTTGTACTGTAACATTATTCTTTGCAATTCTTTTATTTCTTAAATTTTCTAAGGTTGTATTTTGCAGACAAAATATTTGAATTAATTTCCTTCTCTTTAACTGTTGTTCACGGATTTTCCTTTGGGCAGGATCTGTTTTATTTTTAAGAGAAGGTCTGAGCTATTTTCCATTCTAGTGTATCAAAATAAAAACACTGACAAATAGACAAAAACCTTGATAGTTTGTTTTATTTTTCTGGTCTATAACTATGTTGGAATCCATAATCACTTCTTTAAAAACAGAATGTGGAAGCAGGGACAATTAAAATTATAAAATTTACTGGAAAGGGCAGTTAGGTCTGAGTAGTAAATTATTATTTTGCATGGCACTTAACAAAACTTTTCTAATTTTAGTTCCAAATAACCTGAATGTTTTATTGATTTATTTATGATTTCTTTAATTTTATTTCCTGTTCTCGGTATCCTTACTATAATGTATTTACAGGTTTCTATTTTTATTCATATTTTTAAACATGATTATTTTTAAATAATTCATATATTTGTGTGGCCTATACTCATTTTGTTGTAAATTGGCTACATAAATAGGACAGCAGAAAAAATGGCTTTTTATATTGTGCATGATAGATATTAATTACTCATATATCTGGAATGCCTGACAGAGGGAAAAGGAAGAATACCTTCATTTTTATTATATTTTCACCAAGAAGCTTTAAAAATTCATCAATGCAAATGTTGGGTAGATTTGTTTTAATTTGACATTGTGATATTTGCATTTTAATTGATTTTTCAATTGTAATTAGAGATATATTATCTGAATATTAGTATCTGCTACTTTGAACATAACTTTAAATGGCGAGTAGGATACACTAACAATTAATTGGGTTTATATCCCCAAAAGTTGCAATATATTTCTTTTGTCCATCTTCCTGCAAAGTTTTGTGTAACCTATCTTTGTCAGGTTGAGCACAGCTATCTTTACATGGCATGGGCTGATGACTTCTAATCTTCCTATCTCCAATAGGCTTTTTACATATGAGGGATTAAAAAGGGTTAAAGAAGGGAGGGGAAAAGTAAAATGACTGCTACTTGATAGAAAAAAGGGTGGGACTCATAATTCTGTTCTTTCTGTCTGTCAGTCTTCTCTTTTTCTTACTTTTCCTTTACTTTTTAATAATTTTATTGTATTCAAACATTCTAATAATACATTTGTTTTAAAAAAGCTTCTTTAGTGGGTAAATTACATCAGTTTAAAATGGTTAAAATCACTTTTGAAACAAACCTGCAATAAAGAGATAATGTTCCATGTGATGCACCAAATAGTGAAAGATTAGTGAGATATAATTGTATCAAGCCCTTGCCCTCAAAAGCTTGTTTCTGTTTCAACATTCCCTTATAAATTCTTTGCCAATGTATTTGGTAAGCATTACTGCTGAAGAATCACTGGTGGTGGATATCTGAGACTTCATGGATATCTGAGACACCATGAATAACCTTTTAAATGAGCTCAGCCATGATTACTAGTCACTGAACCATTTATTTCATCTGTAGTCAAAAAAAGCCATAACTTGTACAAGATTTTCACTGAAGGTGGAGAATAGTAGAGATATTTTCATTGAGCTCATGCACCAGATTCCTTTACTGTTGCATAATAAGATTTTTTTCAATTCCCTAATCACTATCCTTTGCAAATCAGCCAGATGGATTACTTGATGCATTAAAATAAAGACCCTTGACCAGTAAGAGAGACCAAGGTGACATGAGAATGGCTATCAGTTGCTCTCTTAGCCCCTTCACTGATTGAGATATATGGTTTTTGTCCATAAAAACTCAGAGGTTTTTTGTCTATAGGAAAATTTTGACAGATAAAGGTAAATATCCTGTGAATGATGTGCTTCATTTTGTTCCTGATAATATTTTATTTTATGATATTCTATATTTTCCTGGTTGTATCTTTGAAAAAAAAATGATCAAATTTGTGAGGTTCTCTGTTTTCTTTTCCTACTATTTTCTCATTTTGCTACCAGTGTATTATTCTTAAGCTGCTCCAAGTAGCAGTTGTTTGAAACTAAACTAGCTGGCTTTTCTCACTGCTAAATTTTTAATTGAATTCCTCACAACAGAACATTTATAACCAATGTGATTTTTTTTTTGCACCAATATTCTATTAACCATGTTTTGCTATCAATGATCTAGCATTTTGTATTTTCTTGGTCAGCTGTGGTTATTCAATAAACGAATCATTCCTTAAAGTGATGTCAGAATACAGCCATCATTTATAACTGACATACTTCTTATCATTTCTGTTATATGTAAGCAAAATTACCGAGGTTAAGTAGTACACTGTATATGCTTGTATAGGTATATGCATGGAAGCTTCCTATTCTGTCCTGAAACCCAACTTGCCCTCTTCCCAATGATTGGAGGATCTAGTCAGGTCAGAGTATAATAACTATTAAGATCCCTGAGAGGACATTGAGTCACCTGTAGACAAATTGATGTTGGTGTTGGTATATTAATGGCCCATCAATTCAGGACACTGGCAAAAATGTCAGACTTGTTCAATGCATCTACATCGCTGCTAATAATTGTATGCTGGGCTACATAGCATATATAACTCCAGGTTCTGAAGAAAAGTTATAATTCACTTTGTGCTGAAAAGATTTTTAATTACTTTGCTCAGTTAATACTACTACTGTAAAACATTTTCTCTACTTAACCTGTTTAGGCTTCAAAAGAAATTTGCTTTTGGAATGTCTGATTGCAATAATTCAAAATTCTTACTAACCTGGGAACAAATTACTAATTGAAAGGTGGTGATGGAGGAAATTCATCTGTCTTTTATTTAACAGTGCCTAAACTTGAAATCTGATTATCGTAGTTTTGTCTTTTTTTTTTAAAGGAACTCTAAGCAATAAGAACAAATGAAAGAAATTGCTTGAAAGAAATAGAGATGCTTCTTCCATTCAGATCTCCCATAATAAATAGAAGGAGGTCTAATTTAAAGTGCCTTTGTTACAAATAATAGATTTAGCAGAGGGTCTACACTCAGGTATTTGTAAGTGATCAAAGGAAAAATAAGACTCCTTCAGCACAACATGTTTCAACAGAGAGCGTTCTTTGTAAATAGTGACCTGTATGATCAGTTCTAGGACTCTTAACTGTCATGTGACTTTGCTTTATTGAAATTTAAGTGCAAGTAATATCATTAATTTTACATTTTATATAGAGCTTTTAATTGTTTAATAAGATTGCTTCACAACTTTTCGGCATTGTTGTAAGATAAAGCCATCTTATCCTCATCTTTCAAAAATAGGTATGTAGAAGGGATAAGTATCACAGCACATGATTATGTAGAAAACTCAGTGCCCAGCAAATGTTTAAATATTACATGTCAGGTCTATACTTGTCTTGAATCTAAATAAAGTTTAGGTTACATTGATGAACCTTTCTAGATACAATATATCAGTACATTAAATTCCCATTAGCATATTTTAGTTTTTCCAGATCTTTAGCACCTGAAATAAAGTCTCATTGAATTATACAAAATTCATTCCTTAGTAAATACGCATTGATTTTATTACATTTCTTTTTTAGTTCTGAATAAAACAATTTCATTTTGCTAGAAGCTCTGTGATTCTGCACTAGTTTACCGGCCATGGTTTAGTTGTCGCACAGCAGTGTCCCCTAAAATCACCCAATGCTGAATAGATGGAATACAGCTTTCCCCAAAGAACCTCTCCTATTGATACAAAAGAAGAATTTTATTACATACGGATTTTATTGCATAAAATTACATTTTACTGGGGAATGATGGTTATATCACAAATTATGTGACTGAACTGTTAGTAGAGAAAAGCACTCTATCGTACAATAAGAATAGCATGGTGTACGTTGTTCAGAATCATCACATTTAGAGTTCTTATTTTTCTGTAAAATAGATTGCTTCTTTGCTATCTTGTGAATATTTCAAGAGTTTCATTAATACTATATTTTTTCCAGGTTTTATTTCTTTTCATAAAATCTTTAAGGCACTGAGGAATTGTCACAAACATTGCCATGAAACCCAATCTGAAACAATGGAAACAAGTAATGCTGTTTGGAATATTTGCCTGGGGGCTCCTGTTCCTATTTATCTTCATATATTTCACAGATAGCAACACCACTGATGCAGTTCCTAGTTCCTTCTCATATGTTGAGACTAAAAGACTCTTGCCTATTCAAGGCAAACAGAGGGTTATCATGGGAGCAATTCATGACACACCCTTCTCCGAAACAGTCAATGAGATGCTTTTTAAGAAAGATGTCTTAGATTCATTTAAGTCAGAGACTGGGAATATTAAAAAGTGGACTGGCTTAGATAACAGTTTTGAAAGTGAAGAATTTTTTCCTTCTCAGTTAAGAAGAAAATCCAAAAGCAATTTTCATCAGAGGAGCGGTGATTATTTTTTTGCTGCTGGTCAGCCTCAGTTATCAAATAATGTTCAGCGAATAGTGAAATTAAACTCTGCACAGGGGGAGGTTCAGAAGAGGAATATTTTACAGAATACTTGGTTCCCTCAAAAGAAGATAAAGAAAAGACACATAAATCACAGAAGAAGCGAACTGGTTGAAGAGTCCCATGAATGGAATGAAATCTATTCCACAATGTCAAAATCGTTCCTGTTCAGGCTTTGGCGGGGGGATGTCTCCTCCAAGATGCTGAATCCTCGCCTTCAGAAAGCAATGAAAGATTACTTGAATGCCAATAAGCATGGGGTGAAATTCAGAGGGAAGCAAAACTCCCAACTGACTTCAGAACAGCTCTTCTGTGAGCTAAAGGCACATGTAAACATCAGAACCATTGATGGTGAGGAAGCTCCTTTTTCAGTCCTTGGTTGGAAAAAACATGTCCCTCAAACCTCACTGAATAAATTATATCCTCGTGGATTTGGAAGCTGTGCTGTCGTTATGTCTGCTGGTGCCATACTGAACTCTTCTCTGGGGCATGAAATAGGTGGGTAAAGATGTTTAGTTTATTTGAACTCTGGTATGTAGCTGAAATTCAGATAACCACATGTGGGCTATTTCTGTATTCTTTGGCCTTTATAAGATAAGGCAAAAGAAGCACTGGGTTAGACCAAAGATCTAAGACAACATCCTATTTTCTATAGACGCAACCATATTCTTTTTCTGGGATTAAACAGAACAGCATTTTGTAGCAATCTTCCCATATTGCTATTCTCCAGCAATGTCACTATAGCAAGGAGATTTTCAGTCATCCATATCATAGTTGTCTCAAATGTATATTTTTCTTCAAAAGACTACTGAACTGTTTTTTCCTTAGGAGGAAGAAGAAAACATTTTGCTTCTCATCCAAGAAGCTTCATTCCTGCCATCAGAACTGATTAAGCTTCTTGGATAAGAAGCAAAACATTTTCTTCTTCCTCCTCAAGGAAAAAAACAGTTCAGTTGCCTTTTGAAGAAAAAAAAAACTCCTTTGAGACACACTACCTTTGGTTCTCCCAGTAATATAATTTAATAATCTTTGTATCATATCGTACAGTAACAATAAGCAACTGAAGTAGCAAAAACTTCCTCCCTTCCCCTCCATTTTGCTGCTCCTCTCCAATTTTCAAAATGGCTACGGGTTTGGTTTGGTTGGGTTTGTTTTTAATGAATTGTATCTTATTTTTCTATAGAAAGTTTTGAAAAATGTTAATTAACTAACATCAGAAGTTGACAGATGAAAAAGTAATGAATTAATTCCCCTGACTAATAAACTCATGTGGCCACAGAACATCTACAAGACAAAATGCTTAAGCAACATTTCATGTGTAGCCTCAATAAGACACTTTATCCTGTACTTCAGATATGAAAAATGCTCTTTATAAATACAAAATAAATTATGCAGAACTAAAATATGAACACTTTTTTTAGGAATAATGCAAATCTATGTCTGTATCCACTAAGAAGCATGCAAAATTTGAAGTACTCTAAACCATGTGGAGCAGGCAGTCTTCCATTCATCCCTTGCCACATGTTCTTCAAGACACAGAGAGAGAAGAGTTTCTCTATTATTAATCCCACAAATACTAAGTTGTTCTATGTACTTAAATATGTTTTCTTATTTTTACATTTAACTATCCTTCTTTATCTTAATACTTGTTATTCTTTTCTCAAAAACTAAAATGTTTGTGAGCATTATCCAGCCATGCTGTCTTAGCACTGAAAGTCAAAACTGGGTAATATCAAATATTAAGGGAAATCCTACTGGTTTGAAAAATAAAATAGCGCAACCGTTTCCCCCTTTTCTCACAGTGTGCTGCTGCTAATAATAAAACAATTCAAGTTATAGATTTTTTACAATGATAGTTGCTCACTGTCTCATTTGTATGTCCCTACTCCTAGGTGATTCATTGAATATACATTAATTAAAACATTTTCTAAGCCAAATTTAGTTTTAAGGGTTTTGAAAGAACAATGACAATTTATTATATAAATACATGTACCACTTTTTCCACTAATCTTTGTCATTTAAACAGAATTAACAGTTTTGTCCCAAGCATAACCTTCCTGGAATCTTTCTATTTAGTATGTTCACTACATTATGACTCATCCTTTATTGAAAATGTTTCTCTTGCCTCTGTGGTGATACACATTTCCTTCTCTTCAAAATATTCATTAAACATCCCTATATATATGCAGATAAAGATACCAGCTTGCATATGGAAGAGATCATCTTGACTAATACTTGGCTGAAAAAAATTCTTCCAATTTCCTGAAAGTTTTCTTCTTCTGGAAAAAAATGCTTCTATCTTGTATCGCACTCTCAGATGTATGAGAATTTATTTTAGTGATGCTTATGAGGTTTGTTTATTTTTGTGAAGCAGTGGAAGGTACTATGTATCATCCTATATCTCTCTTATCATTCTGTGGCCCCCTGACTGTCCTCCTTGATCTGAGAAATCCCCATGTGGGGAGTTGCCTCTTAATGTCTTTCTCTGAGATGTTTTTGAAACAGGGGGATTAAAGAGGCTGCAAACTACAGAAGAGATCATTCTTCTGCAGTTGGGACATTCCAACACAACTTCAGAAGCAATTTCTTTCCCATTAATTTAGTAAGATTACAGATAGTTCTTGACTTAGGACCACAGTTGGGAACAGAATTTTCATTGCTAAGCAAGATGTTCATTAAGTGAGTTGCACCCAATTTTATAATCTTTTTTGCTACAAGCAAATCACTGTAGCTGCTAAGTGAATCACGCAATCGTTAAGCAAATCTGGCTTATACTTGCCTGTTATCAACATTCGAATTTTGATCACATGACTGGGGATTGTGTAGTGGTGATAAACCTGAGTTGTAAGTCACTTTTTTCAGTGCCGTTGTAAATCTGAACAGTCACTAAATGAATGATTGTAAATCGAGGACTAGCTGTAGTAAACATATTTCAAAGAAAGCCTTAACCACAGTAATATCTGAGAAATAGACATACTATGGACAATACGTAGTCTTAATCTAAAATAAATAGGATTGGAAGTGTATATCTTGATGTGGTTATTTCCCCATAATTGCAAATGCATGTATTCACTATGGAATACATGTGTTCTATTTTTGTAGTTATTTTACTATGCCTGCTGGGCTTCTTATGGGATATGTGGATACAGGAAGTTCAGCTTCCAGTCAGATTTTCCTGTTGCACTTATCATGAGCTACCTATGTGTGTATATGAAGCAATGATAATTTTGCAAACAAATGTTAGTTATAAAACTCATGCTATCATATCTAATTCCTGGCAACCCATATTCTTCTGTTTTCTTCTTCTGCTTTGCCTGTCCGCCCCCCTCTTAAAATAGTGTTCTGTCATTCCAGACCTAATGTTTCACTCATTACCTGCTCTGGAGAGTTTCACTTATATACCTCTAGGCTGATGATGATAGCAATAATAATAGTAGTACATATAATTTTATCTGCCATGTTTCAGATGTTTAAAGCATATTTGTGATACATTTATCTCAGCAAATAATGAGATAAGCTGCAAAATATTTAAGATGGATTCTTCTAATGGCAATCCATACAATACTCACTTCTTTCATATTTCTCTTTTCTTCATGAACTATCACCCCTTTTGTTCCTTTGTTGTCTCAGTGTTAATTCTTTACTGTTTTTCTACATTGGGCCACTGTTCGTTTCTTTTCACCTTTAGTTACTGAGAAAGGAATGCACAAAGGAAATGGACAAATGTGTTATTTCTTAGTGCATATATATTTTACATTCTTGCCTGTACATATGTTACTTCTGCTAATGCTCACTTTATTGCTTATTTAAGGTATCCTGCTTTATATCACATCAGATCTCATGGGGGCATAGACAGGTTCAAACCTTACAGTTTTAATATGCAATTTTTTACCATATTTGTGTTGGTATTTATAAGAAAAGGCCCTCTACTTTACTAATTTTTCTCACTTTTTGTGGGAGAGGAAAAGATGAATGATAGGTGACAAAGCATGAAAGAAAGGACATAGAAGTGGAAAATACTATCATCTGGACCTCCTACAAAATACCATGAATGAGACAGCATGATGATAGAACAAAAATATTTTTTTGAAAACTCCCGGTATCTCACAGTGGAACTGTCAGCCCTTCAAAGTACTCCAGACAAGAAATCAGTACTATCAGTATTAACACTACTACCTTACTATTGCCCTGACTTTGGCTCTTTCTCTTCCTGTCTCCCAATTACAGGAACATTCTTTCTCCTGACAGCTACATTAGATTGATCTGGTGCCATCAAGCCACTGACAACCCTTAGTGATCACATAGATTTTTCTCAAGGAGAATCTGGTTCCGGCTTGGTCTTTTAGTTCTTACAATGGTGCACCCATTGTCGCTATAATCAAGTCAACCCAGCTTGCTGCTACATGTCCTCTTCTCTTTCCTTCAACCTTTCCCAGTATTACAGACTTTTCAGATGCTATTCAATCTAACCAATACATATAATGTAAAATTCCAGGCCAGTACAGAATTGTATCACAGCAGAATAGCAGAATGCTGTACGGATAACTGAATTGTATCTGATGATGAAATGAACATTGCCAAGATATATTCACACTGTCTCATAATCTAAATGTTAGCATAGTAATTCAAGACACAGCAAAAATGTATTTGAAGGTAAATATACAAGATACATAAAAATATCCAAAGTATATAAACTTTAGGAAGTTCAATACAACTGAGTATCTCTTCAGAGCATAGCTTTTAAAACAATAGTGAAAAAGGAAACAATAAGTGTAACTAGTTCTGCAACTAGGTATTTGCATTTATTGTCTGTTTGCAAAAACAATTACGGTATATATGACAATAGAACCATATTTTCAATGATTCTTAATTTTTCTGTTCTAATTTCAAAAGCTTAATGAAATTTCTATTTACATAGGCTGTTCACATTTCCATATTAATTTTAAAAGCTTAAATATTTGTCTTGGCTTAGATTGTTCTTTGTACTAAGTCTGAGAGAATTTAAATATTAAAGTAGAACATAATAGAAAATGAGCAGTGTGGTGTGGTGGCCTAAAGGTGGAGCTCTCACCTCACAATCATGAGGCTATGAGTTCGATCCTAGGTAGCAGTAGATATTTCTCTCTCTGGATGCAAAGAGAATATATCTGCTGTGAGCTCCACATAGGTATCAGGAAGGGCATCTGGCCAGTAAATGCTCAGCTCCATTCAATCGCCCTGACCCCATCCTGATGCAAGGGATTACACAGTTGTTAAAAGAAAAAAAAATGGAATATAATAGAAACTATTTGTACTTAATACCTGCAGATCAAGCATGTATACTAGAATCTATTTAGAACATAGTGGTATCTACCTTTAAATAAGCATCTGTATGATTGCACATGTATAAAACCCCAAATAAATGTAACTTTTTTCACACTAGATTCTCATGATGCAGTTCTGAGATTCAATTCTGCTCCAACAAAAGGCTATGAAAAAGATGTTGGAAATAAAACTACAATGCGCATCATTAATTCCCAGGTAAATCTGTTGAAGATCCATAAATACTGTATATATTATTTTCTAGGAGATATTGACCTTTTGTAAGCAATATGAAATTTAATAAACACATTTCTAAATGTTTACATGTATCTCCATCCATATACTCAACATAATTTCTTTAACCACTCTACAACATAATTTTAAAATGTATTATCTAAGTTATTAGGTTCTACTGTTGGAGTAAACATATTTTATTTATTAATCAAAAATGGATTGCTGCTCTTAGATAGTTGATAATCATCAATCAGCATTAGCTTCAGTGTAAAATTCTGTTAGGATTGTAAATAATTTATTTATTTATTTATTTATATTTAAATTTATATGCCGCCCTTCTCCCCATGGGACTCAGGGCGGCTCACAGCATATTAAAACATTGTACAAAAAGAAATTTTCCCCTGCTAAAAACCAATTAAAATCCAAATATTAGTAGCTGTGGCTCTTTAAAATTGTTTAAAAATTGTCCCTATTTAAAACTCACCTTAGGTNGAAAGTGAAGAATTTTTTCCTTCTCAGTTAAGAAGAAAATCCAAAAGCAATTTTCATCAGAGGAGCGGTGATTATTTTTTTGCTGCTGGTCAGCCTCAGTTATCAAATAATGTTCAGCGAATAGTGAAATTAAACTCTGCACAGGGGGAGGTTCAGAAGAGGAATATTTTACAGAATACTTGGTTCCCTCAAAAGAAGACAAAGAAAAGACACATAAATCACAGAAGAAGCGAACTGGTTGAAGAGTCCCATGAATGGAATGAAATCTATTCCACAATGTCAAAATCGTTCCTGTTCAGGCTTTGGCGGGGGGATGTCTCCTCCAAGATGCTGAATCCTCGCCTTCAGAAAGCAATGAAAGATTACTTGAATGCCAATAAGCATGGGGTGAAATTCAGAGGGAAGCAAAACTCCCAACTGACTTCAGAACAGCTCTTCTGTGAGCTAAAGGCACATGTAAACATCAGAACCATTGATGGTGAGGAAGCTCCTTTTTCAGTCCTTGGTTGGAAAAAACACGTCCCTCAAACCTCACTGAATAAATTATATCCTCGTGGATTTGGAAGCTGTGCTGTCGTTATGTCTGCTGGTGCCATACTGAACTCTTCTCTGGGGCATGAAATAGGTGGGTAAAGATGTTTAGTTTATTTGAACTCTGGTATGTAGCTGAAATTCAGATAACCACATGTGGGCTATTTCTGTATTCTTTGGCCTTTATAAGATAAGGCAAAAGAAGCACTGGGTTAGACCAAAGATCTAAGACAACATCCTATTTTCTATAGACGCAAACATATTCTTTTTCTGGGATTAAACAGAACAGCATTTTGTAGCAATCTTCCCATATTGCTATTCTCCAGCAATGTCACTGTAGCAAGGAGATTTTCAGTCATCCATATCATAGTTGTCTCAAAGGTATATTTTTCTTCAAAAGACTACTGAACTGTTTTTTCCTTAGGAGGAAGAAGAAAATATTTTGCTTCTCATCCAAGAAGCTTCATTCCTGCCATCAGAACTGATTAAGCTTCTTGGATAAGAAGCAAAACATTTTCTTCTTCCTCCTCAAGGAAAAAAAACAGTTCAGTTGCCTTTTGAAGAAAAAAAAAAACTCCTTTGAGACACACTACCTTTGGTTCTCCCAGTAATATAATTTAATAATCTTTGTATCATATCGTACAGTAACAATAAGCAACTGAAGTAGCAAAAACTTCCTCCCTTCCCCTCCATTTTGCTGCTCCTCTCCAATTTTCAAAATGGCTACGGGTTTGGTTGGGTTTGTTTTTAATGAATTGTATCTTATTTTTCTATAGAAAGTTTTGAAAAATGTTAATTAGCTAACATCAGAAGTTGACAGATGAAAAAGTAATGAATTAATTCCCCTGACTAATAAACTCATGTGGCCACAGAACATCTACAAGACAAAATGCTTAAGCAACATTTCATGTGTAACCTCAATAAGACACTTTATCCTGTACTTTAGATATGAAAAATGCTCTTTATAAATACAAAATAAATTATGCAGAACTAAAATATGAACACTTTTTTTAGGAATAATGCAAATCTATGTCTGTATCCACTAAGAAGCATGCAAAATTTGAAGCACTCTAAACCATGTGGTGCAGGCAGTCTTCCATTCATCCCTTGCCACATGTTCTTCAAGACACAGAGAGAGAAGAGTTTCTCTATTATTAATCCCACAAATACTAAGTTGTTCTATGTACTTAAATATGTTTTCTTATTTTTACATTTATCTATCCTTCTTTATCTTAATACTTGTTATTCTTTTCTCAAAAACTAAAATGTTTGTGAGCATTATCCAGTTACTTCAGTAGGCATCTCTGCTCAGCCTAAGAGCCATGCTGTCTTAGCACTGAAAGTCAAAACTGGGTAATATCAAATATTAAGGGAAATCCTTCTGGTTTGGAAAATAAAATAGCGTAACCGTTTCCCCCTTTTCTCACAGTGTGCTGCTGCTAATAATAAAACAATTTAAGTTATAGATTTTTTACAACGATAGTTGCTCACTGTCTCATTTGTATGTCCCTACTCCTAGGTGATTCATTGAATATACATTAATTAAAACATTTTCTAAGCCAAATTTAGTTTTAAGGGTTTTGAAAGAACAATGACAATTTATTATATAAATACATGTACCACTTTTTCCACTAATCTTTGTCATTTAAACAGAATTAACAGTTTTGTCCCAAGCATAACCTTCCTGGAATCTTTCTATTTAGTATGTTCATTACATTATGACTCATCCTTTATTGAAAATGTTTCTCTTGCCTCTGTGGTGGTACACATTTCCTTCTCTTCAAAATATTCATTAAACATCCCTATATATATGCAGATAAAGATACCAGCTTGCATATGGAAGAGATCATCTTGACTAATACTTGGCTGAAAAAAATTCTTCCAATTTCCTGAAAGTTTTCTTCCTCTGGAAAAAAAATGCTTCTATCTTGTATCGCACTCTCAGATGTATGAGAATTTATTTTAGTGATGCTTATGAGGTTTGTTTATTTTTGTGAAGCAGTGGAAGGTACTATGTATCATCCTGTATCTCTCTTATCATTCTGTGGCCCCCTGACTGTCCTCCTTGATCTGAGAAATCCCCATGTGGGGAGTTGCCTCTTAATGTCTTTCTCTGAGATGTTTTTGAAACAGGGGGATTAGAGAGGCTGCAAACTACAGAAGAGATCATTCTTCTGTAGTTGGGACATTCCAACACAACTTCAGAAGCAATTTCTTTCCCATTAATTTAGTAAGATTACAGATAGTTCTTGACTTAGGACCACAGTTGGGAACAGAATTTTCATTGCTAAGCAAGATGTTTATTAAGTGAGTTGCACCCAATTTTATAATCTTTTTTGCTACAAGCAAATCACTGTAGCTGCTAAGTGAATCACGCAATCGTTAAGCAAATCTGGCTTATACTTGCCTGTTATCAACATTCGAATTTTGATCACATGACTGGGGATTGTGTAGTGGTGATAAACCTGAGTTGTAAGTCACTTTTTTCAGTGCCGTTGTAAATTTGAACAGTCATTAAATGAATGATTGTAAATCGAGGACTAGCTGTAGTAAACATATTTCAAAGAAAACCTTAACCACAGTAATATCTGAGAAATAGACATACTATGGACAATACGTAGTCTTAATCTAAAATAAATAGGATTGGAAGTGTATATCTTGATGTGGGTTATTTTCCCATAATTGCAAATGCATGTATTCACTATGGAATACATGTGTTCTATTTTTGTAGTTATTTTATTATGCCTGCTGGGCTTCTTATGGGATCTGTGGATACAGGAAGTTCAGCTTCCAGTCAGATTTTCCTGTTGCACTTATCATGAGCTACCTATGTGTGTATATAAAGCAATGATAATTTTGCAAACAAATGTTAGTTATAAAACTCATGCTATCATATCTAATTCCTGGCAACCCATATTCTTCTGTTCTCTTCTTCTGCTTTGCCTGTCCACCCCCCTCTTAAAATAGTGTTCTGTCATTCCAGACCTAATGTTTCACTCATTACCTGCTCTGGAGAGTTTCACTTATATACCTCTAGGCTGATGATGATAGCAATAATAATAGTAGTACATATAATTTTATCTGCCATGTTTCAGATGTTTAAAGCATATTTGTGATACATTTATCTCAGCAAATAATGAGATAAGCTGCAAAATATTTAAGATGGATTCTTCTAATGGCAATCCATACAGTACTCACTTCTTTCATATTTCTCTTTTCTTCATGAACTATCACCCCTTTTGTTCCTTTGTTGTCTCAGTGTTAATTCTTTACTGTTTTTCTACATTGGGCCACTGTTCGTTTCTTTTCACCTTTAGTTACTGAGAAAGGAATGCACAAAGGAAAAGGACAAATGTGTTATTTCTTAGTGCATATATATTTTACATTCTTGCCTGTACATATGTTACTTCTGCTAATGCTCACTTTATTGCTTATTTAAGGTATCCTGCTTTATATCACATCAGATCTCATGGGGGCATAGACAGGTTCAAACCTTACAGTTTTAATATGCAATTTTTTGCCATATTTGTGTTGGTATTTATAAGAAAAGCAACCCAGCTTGCTGCTGCATGTCCTCTTCTCTTTCCTTCAACCTTTCCCAGTATTACAGACTTTTCAGATACTATTCAATCTAACCAATACATATAATGTAAAATTCCAGGCCAGTACAGAATTGTATCACAGCAGAATAGCAGAATGCTGTACGGATAACTGAATTGTATCTGATGATGAAATGAACATTGCCAAGATATATTCACACTGTCTCATAATCTAAATGTTAGCATAGTAATTCAAGACACAGCAAAAATATATTTGAAGGTAAATATACAAGATACATAAAAATATCCAAAGTATATAAACTTTAGGAACTTCATTACAACTGAGTATCTCTTCAGAGCATAGCTTTTAAAACAATAGTGAAAAAGGAAACAATAAGTGTAACTAGTTCTGCAACTAGGTATTTGCATTTATTGTCTCTTTGCAAAAACAATTATATATGACAATAGAACCATATTTTCATGGATTCTTAATTTTTCTGTTCTAATTTCAAAAGCTTAATGAAATTTCTATTTACATAGACTGTTCACATTTCCATATTAATTTTAAAAGCTTAAATATTTGTCTTGGCTTAGATTGTTCTTTGTACTAAGTCTGAGAGAATTTAAATACTAAAGTAGAACATAATAGAAAATGAGCAGTGTGATGGCCTAAAGGTGGAGCTCTCACCTCACAATCATGAGGCTATGAGTTCGATCCTAGGAAGCAGTAGATATTTCTCTCTCTGGATGCAAAGAGAATATATCTGCTGTGAGCTCCACATATGTATCAGGAAGGGCATCTGGCCAGTAAATGCTCAGCTCCATTCAATCGCCCTGACCCCATCCTGATGCAAGGGATTACACAGTTGTTAAAAGAAAAAAAAGTGGAATATAATAGAAACTATTTGTACTTAATACCTGCAGATCAAGCATGTATGCTAGAATCTATTTAGAACATAGTGGTATCTATCTTTAAATAAGCATCTGTATGATTGCACATGTATAAAACCCCAAATAAATGTAACTTTTTTCACACTAGATTCTCATGATGCAGTTCTGAGATTCAATTCTGCTCCAACAAAAGGCTATGAAAAAGATGTTGGAAATAAAACTACAATGCGCATCATTAATTCCCAGGTAAATCTGTTGAAGATCCATAAATATATATTATTTTCTAGGAGATATTGACCTTTTGTAAGCAATATGAAATTTAATAAACACATTTCTAAATGTTTACATGTATCTCCATCCATATACTCAACAGAATTTCTTTAACCACTCTACAACATAATTTTAAAATGTATTATCTAAGTTATTAGGTTCTACTGTTGGAGTAAACATATTTTATTTATTAATCAAAAATGGATTGCTGCTCTTAGATAGTTGATAATCATCAATCAGCATTAGCTTCAGTGTAAAATTCTGTTAGGATTGTAAATAATAAACTTCTAGCTTCATAATATGTAGGACATTTTTTTTAATTTTATATCCTAAGGATCACATTAAAAAAATAGAAGAGGAAAATAAACAGGAAAGCCAGACGCAGTGGTATTTGTTGATTTGTCTGTCCTTATCATCTTTATTATTTCATTCTTTATAAATTGTAACTTAAGTAGACAACTTCATTTTTTCTGCATTTTAAATGTACAAATTTATGCTTCCTAGGCAAATAATCAGGAGAGATCTTTTGGATTGTATAATTTTCCAGATATGTAATTCTTATCTTTAAGCAAAAATGATTTGGAGAAAGATATTTTAAATTAGTTAGAAAGATATTTCATGGAGAAGTAAATCTGAATTTTTGAAATTTAAAAATGCCATGGGATGTGGAAATTGGATGGAATGGATATAGAATTTAGTATATACTGTACTAGCATTAAATATTCTGACTGTTATACCATAAGAACTCACAGGAACTAGACAAAATAGAGATGACATAAACCAGCAAAGTTGTAGAGAGTGGAATGAAGCTAAAAGCTGTAATGATTAGAGATTCATGACCAAACAGAATGAATACTCCTTTTTAAAAACCTGCAGCACCCTCTTGCGGCAGGTACTTTATTCACTTCAAAACAAACTTCTATTTGTATGCATTTTGAAATTTGTATTTCTTAACTATAACATGCAGCTAATAAATTCCCCATTCCTCAGGCCATAATTATTTGTTAAATACTTGTGGGAAAATATTTCACGGCTGCAGTATCCCCGTACATAGGCTGAAAATGACTTTACATAGGATCTCACCATTCTTGAGCATACAGGTAGTCCTCACTTAACAACCACAATGGGGCCTGGCAACTCCATTGCTTAAGTGTCGTTAGGTGAAACATCACATGACCACGCTGCTCTTATGACATCACTTTTGCTTCCATAGTAAAGCAAATCACCACAGTCATTAAAGAGGCATCAGTGACTACCACTTCTTTTTGACTTTTTGTTTTTCAGAAGCCAGTTGTGAAGCGCACATATAGCAATCATGTGACTGCAGGATGCTGCAACAGTTGTAACTGTATCTCCAGCTGTTGTAGTGTACCAATAGCTAGCATTATTTTAGCAGTGACAATTACCGATTGAAACCTACAAGAAAAATAAAAAAAACTGATGTATTCTAGGTAGACAGCAGCATGTTCTTTGGCAAAGCCATTCTCTCTCATTTCTTTCTTTCTTGAAAGTGATATGAGAAGACTTACCTTCTGCTCTACGATGGTATTCTACATATGGAGTGTGTGCAAGGGTACTTCAAATTTCTTTTCGAAAGTGTAAAGTGCATTTAAACCTGATGACAGAAGAGTTGAAGGGGATTTAAAGCTAATTTTTAAGCTAAACTGCCAGATAATGGTAAGAACATAGAAGAGAAATAAAGTTTGGAATATTTTTAGTAGATATGTGTTTCTTTGCATTTAACAGATTCTTACTAATCCTAATTATCATTTCGTCGATAACTCCTTGTATAAAGATGTTATTTTAGTGGCTTGGGATCCTGCTCCTTATTCTTCAAATCTGGATAAGGTAAGTCATCAGTTATTGTGTTGATGCCACTGTGCACTTTCTTTATTCAAAAGAAATGAGCTTCATAGTCTTCCTATCCCGAAAACGGTTTTGACTTAGATGCTCTCTTTAACAATTTGGTAAATGCCTAAATCTAAACTTACAAATTTTATAACTTTTCGTTACAACAAAAGGTATAGAGTAACTTTACATAAGGATCTCGTGTTTTACTGACTGGACCACTAGACAGACATATATCAACTTGAAATCGGTAAAAATTTATAGATGGAAACCCAAAATTCTGTATTTCCATTTTTTGTGTGTTTTCTGATTCATACATGCACACATACATGACCATTCTCTATTTATCCCACTATTTTCTTTCAAAATAAGTAGGGTTTAGAAAAGGAGTAATAGTAAGCAAAAAAGAAAGGATGAAATAGACAGTAAGAAAAAGGCAAGAAAAAGAAATACCACCATTCATTATTCTATCAAGCTTGTTTCACCCTGTTTACTAATCTGCCTTGTGTTTTTTAAACTTTTCCCATTTCCCTTTTTTAGGATATAAATTCACCACAATTTTTTTGAACTTTCCATTCCTTTCAGTCCGTGTATTTTTCCTTCATTTATTTCTTTTTGCAATTCGGCCTTCATTCATTCTATTTGCTCAAATCTCCTCATCATACTTTTTCTGTACTAATCACCAACTCTTGTATTTATTCAGCACCAATTCATTTTTTATTACATCTCTTCTTATTAACCATTATCCCATTCAAGTTTCATTCAACTTTTATGTTTCTTCAGATATTCCATTTCACACTGCCATCTCATACCTGTCTACCATCATCACATACTTAAAATATCTCCATCCATTTTCTCAGCTTCACTAAACACTTCATCAAATTCAACTACTGTTCTTTTGCCATGCATGTAGAAATAAAATTAATTAATTAATTAATTCCATTTGTATAACTGTCAATCACAGATTGTTGTGCTTTTTGAAATCTTGCAAGAAGTCACAAGTCCAGTCACATGAAATTCTCACTTAACAACACCATTGGCAACTGCAGAGATTGCTGTTGCTGACCAATATAGTCATGTGACATCATGCTTTATGACTCCATCACTTAGCAATGGAAATTATAGCCCCACTTACCATAGTTAAGCAAGAACTACCTGAAAATGCTGCAGTTAGAATTGCCATTTGCTGGAACTGTGTCATATTTGGGCCCTTTTTTTAAATTTTACCCATTGGTATGATATCATTACAAAATCGAATAATGGGATCTTGTACCAATCTATATAAATACAAATGTAAATGTTCGTTTGTTCAAAATCTTAAATCTCCAAAAGTTCTTCACCGATTGCTTTGAAATTTTGACACAACATTGCATTCGAATACGCGCGTGTTTCTATATACCTACTATTATATAGATGTCATACCTGTGACAGATAAAAACAAAAAAGGGCAAATCTTTAGAATTGTACGGTTTAGATCTAGACACGGATTGCTTCTCACATGGACAATTATATGTTGCGTGTTCTAGAGTCGGCAAACCAGACAATCTCTATATCTGCACAGACAATGGAACAACAAAAAATATTGTATACCCACAAGCATTGTGAAATTAAACATATTACAAACGTGCGCTTTCTCTTTTCTTTCTTTTCCATTTAACCAGACTGNTGGAAGGGACCTTGGAGGTCATCGAGTCCAACCCCCTGCTCAGGCAGGAACCCTACACCATTTCAGACAAATGGCTGTCCAGTCTCTTCTTAAAAACTTCCAGTGTTGGAGCATTCACCGCTTCTGGAGGCAGGTTGTTCCATTGGTTAATTGTTCTAACTGTCAGGAAGTTTCTCCTTAGTTCTAGGTTGCTTCTCTCTTTGATCAGTTTCCACCCGTTGCTTCTCGTCCTGCCTTCAGGCGCCTTGGAGAATAGCTTGACTCCCTCTTCTTTGTGGCAGCCCCTGAGATATTGGAAAACTGCTATCATGTCCCCCTCTCTCTAATTCCTTGTCATTGATGTTCTGAATTTCAAAGTGATTCCTGATGTTCTTGAAAATGCAAGTATATGCTCAATATCATATCTTGGATTTGGAAACTGTATACTTTGTCCTTATGCTTTAGTTGGATAGGAACTTGGAAATAAGTAGTTCATTGTTCCACAGTCAGCTCCTGCCACATCTTTGCTGTTGCATCTGAGCTCTTATACCCCCTTGTGCTAATAATATGATCAGTTTCATTTCTGTATACTACATCAGCTCTCTCTCAGTAGCGATCCAGTAGCAATAGCAATAGCACTTAGATCATCTATGAGGATTTGTGTGCCCAAATAGGATGGCAGCTACAAGTATGAAATCAAAGTACTTTTTTACATGCATGCCTCACTATCTTGACATTTGATTCTTCCCTGCTGATGCCCTTGCCTTTTTCCCCCCTGGTTTAAAATATTGTGTAAATCCAGTTCAGTAGATAAATACAGCAATAGCAATAGCACTTAGACTTATATACCACTTCACAATGCTTTACAACCCCCTCTCTAAGCAGTTTACAGAGTCAGCATATTGCCCCCAACAATCTGGGTCCACATTTTACTGACCTTGGAAAGATGGAAGGCTGAGTCAATCATGAGCCGGTGAGACTCGAACTGCCAAACTGCTGGCAGACAGCAGACAGCAGAAATAGCCTGCAGTACTGCATTCTAACCACTGGGCCACCAGGGCTCATCCAAGCCCATCATCCAAACTGTGTTATCAATCACTTGTCTATCCAAGTGGATTTCTTTGGTAAACAGTCACTCTGAGTTTAACAGCATATTAGATAGATAGATAGATAGATAGATAGATAGATAGATAGACAGACAGACAGACAGACAGACAGACAGACAGACAGACAGACAGACAGACAGACAGACCACAAGAGTGACAGATAAAACACACACGAGTGGTTTATCATTCCTTTCCTGCTTTGCAAAATGAAATTATGCCTGTGCTGTTGTTACTAAAATGATCATCCATGTTCACCATTTTCCTAAATTGCTGCCAGTCTGCTTGCTTTAGCTGGGCAGCTAAGATTATTTTCATGCACTGAGTGATCCTGCTGAGAGAATATATAATCTTGGACTGTACTCCTAGTGTTTGCTCATCATGTCCAGAAGCACCCTTTTCCCATGATAAGGCAATACAGCAAGACTTGTAAGGTGGAGAGAGGATCTTGAAAAACAGCATTTCATTATTTTCAGTTCAATTCATCATTCTATATTCTTACTTAGTCCTTTATTTATCAAGTTTTCCCATCCCTACTTTTCTTTCCAATCTTTCACAACATGTATTGTATGTTCCAATATTTTATTTTGTTCAAACATTTTCTAATTGTACTAGTTTTTATGTCTCCCTCTTTACTAATGTATTTATCCCTCCTACAGATCATTCATTAAAGAATTTTAGTTTCTTTTACTACGTGTCAGCATTTCAAGGTAGACCAAACTAGGAAACCAAAATTATGAATGCTAATTAGGCAACCCATGACCTGTTAGATCATTGTTTCAGAAATATTTCCTTATCAGATTTCTTATGTATGCCGATTGGTGTACATTCAAAGTGACAATAAAGTTGTTGTTGTTGTTGTTGTTAATGCCTTCAAAAGTGGTAGAGCTTCTAATACATTACCTTTACTGGAAAAAGTTTTTTTTTAAATTCAAGGAGATATTCAGAGATATATGTCCCTGAAAATAGCCCATGTTGAGAACTGTATAGCACAGTCCACAGGAAATGTTTCATGATATATTATATTACGTATATCATAACAAGTTTTATGATAATTCAAAATGTTACATAAAATTTGCCAACTTTCAATTCTATGGGAGTCATGGGTCCCGGATTTTGGATGCATTCTGTAAGTTAGCCTATTTGAGGTACCTCGAATAAAAAAACGTTGCCCTACAGTGCACAGTTTCCGCTAGTTAAAAGTTTACAGACACAAGAGTTTTACCAATATATAGATACTACTTTTGTTATAAGGTTACAATAACAGAATTTTGCACTTCTAAGTGCACCTCCCCCTTCCCTCCCTTTATCTTCATGAGAACTATGGAACATCATGTCTGGGAGGCTTTCTCAAATTACATTTCTGCCCCACAGTTACACTTTTTTTATCTGACCTTTGCATTCATTGCAGCTCTTCCTCCTATTTCTCAAGGTTACATTTACTGCCCATTACACTATGCAATAGTACACTCTAGATAAGCAAAGACATGAATCTGGATTCTGCCAGTCTTAACCCGTCTATTACATCATGCAAGGTCTGCTGCCAATAGCTTTAGTGAGGTTTCCTTCCACTTCACTACACTGTCACAGATGTGTGGGATAAATATGAACCAATGGAGAGGTGATGTAGTACATAGCATAGCTAAATGGCTGTCAAGCAATACCACTTGGAGCCTTTTGGAAGATTGGGAGGCATCTACATTCTAGTAATCAGTTCATAAATAGATATATAATTTGAGCTCCATTTGCACCAGATTAAAATATTGACATCACTGTGTTAAAAAAAAGTTTTTAATTGCAAATCTGCTAAGATACATGTAATAGTTACATGTATCTTCATGATACAATATTCCTCTCAGTGCCAACAAGTGTAAGAAAAGCTATTCTATTCATGTCTGGCTTTTGGCTGTGATCACTGGTGGGAACTGAATGTTGGATTGCACAGGCTTTGGATGTCATCCAGAAGGGAAGTGGTTTTGTCCTTAAACAGTTCTAGACATAGAAAGATTTGCAGCATTGTAGAGTCAAAGATATGAAACAAGCAGGGATGTAAATCTAGCCTCTTGTCAGAAACACCATAACGCAATTATCATATTCTGATAGGTGCTTAGTGTATACCCATGCATGTTTGAAATCAATTTATTCTTTTGGTCCTAAAAATATTGTTCAACCATGTTGATCAGGAATGCTACTACAGTGATTGCAATGAACTTTTCAGTTATTATTATGGATTTCTAACTCCATAAATTCACAAATTAAAATTATAAATATACGATTTTTACTACTTACTGTGTATTTGACCAGAATGAAATACAGTAGACATTAATTCCATGTTTAAAAAGAAGGAGCAAGGATTGCTGCGTTTCAGATACATTTTATTTTAAATATTTGAGGGGGAAAATTCAACACCTTCAACATTAATGAAATACCATCTAGATTCCCATACTATCCTTTAAAGCAGGAGCTGGGAATTTTGTCATTACAGATGTTGCTAAACCACAGTTCCTAGCATCCTTCCCCAGTTAGGCTGCTGCGTGTTATAGTTTACAACATCTGGAAGATCACAGAGTTATGCCTTTGCTTTATATTGCAATATTACCTTTCTTTCATTCAACAACTGATCGTAATGGACTACAAAGGAGTTAAGAATATCAATTTAAAAATCAGCTATTTGGGTGTAGAGTAATAACATTGTAGGCTCTGAAATCAGCTGTCTATAAGTGACTCATTACTAGCTTCTTACTGATATCACTGGAACTAAAAGTGATCCGTTTATTCTGAATCTTACTCTCTTTTCCCTGAAGAGTACTCTGTTTATACTTCAAAAGCAGAATGAGGTTTGGGCAAATAATACTCATTAAAGACAACTGAAAAAGATGGGTTTCTTTCCCCTGCAAAGGCACCCAGCAGATGTAAAGGAAGAGAATAAGAGCTGGTAGCAGCCACAGAAACATGGGAACATTCCGTCATAGAGGGCTGATACAAAAATGAAAATCCCAAGTAGCCTTGACAACTTGTAAACTGTGATAAATGAAAGTGATATCAGTGATGATTTCATGTTTGGTTTCCTATCTTTAAAAGAACATTTTTTCATAAAACTATCTAGTAATTTTTAATTAGACCCAGAATTCTGTGAGTACAGTATATCTTGCAAACAATCATGTCTTGTTTTATATACCGTAACTCCTGAGTTTTCATTTATTTGAGCCATAATGATTATCTGGTAAAATAGTCTGTTGCTGAGTACTGTGATTGCAAAACTAAACTTCAAAGAAACTTTTTAAAAAACAGTTACTGATGAGTCCAAAATTGGCATTGGCTGTAGCATAAATTGCTTTTTTGTTTTGTTTTTGGTTTCTGCAGTAACAGCATTGGAAGGGAGTCAAAGTATATTTTATAATGTTATGTAGAAAAAAACATTTACTATGTGTAATTTCTTTTTATTTATTATTAAATTTATATAGCCACCCATTTCACAATGTTGACAATCTTTATTTTTAGGGTTAAGTTATCTGTTAGAAAAAGAAGATGCTTTTTGTATTCTAGAGAATGCATTATAAGTTTATAAAAACTTATCTTTTTATGATAAAGTATTCAGAGCTTTTGCATCTATTGTAAAATGCCATATTTGAATTTAAAAAGAAACAATGGCTTTTTATGGCTTTGCTATATGTAAATATTACAACATTGTCTGCAGAACAGGAAGAAGAGGAACAATACAAATTCTTCCAACAAAGGATTAAATCATTTAAAATGAATATTAAATTTTCAATTGATTAAACTGCACTGAGCAATGAGCATTAAATATGGTATTGTAGGCATTAAAGTATTAGAAATTATATTGCTGCTTTATATTTTGCAAAAGGGAGAGTTTGGATAGCTCAGCTGAAAGAAAATTAACAGTTGTTACATTATTTATGCTACACTCCATACAAATGCATGGCATCGGACCTGGATATCTCCGAGACCGCCCTCTGCCGCAGGTTACCTCCCATCGGCCGGTACGCTCCCACAGAGTGGGTCTCCTCAGGGTGCCGTCAGCCAGACAGTGCCGGCTGGCGACCCCCAGGGGGAGGGCCTTCTCGGTGGGAGCCCCCACCCTCTGGAACGAACTACCCCCAGAGATCCGGGTGATCCCGGATCTCCCCTCCTTCCGCCGCGCCCTAAAGACA